ACATTGGACTAATGCATTTCTTCTACATTTACACAACTTAGTCCAAGGGCTAAAGCTTCGCTTACAAAAATCATGCCCTTGATAAGAGATTTAATCTGGAAGCACTTAACAATGTTGCTTGTGGTAAACACCTCGATTGAGCCAAAATTAAAATTTTCTTGGACTCTATGATTCATGAATAGATTTTACCAAGTTTATGTAAAATCTCCAGCTTTGTTAGCATCTTTTCTTTTCAAGTTTCAAGCCAAATTTTGCATCTCCTTCTTTAAGCAGTTTTTGGGGCTAGAGTAAGTCTTGTGATCATTCGAGGATTTGATTGTTTGAGATGTATCTATAGGCTAGAGAAATATCTATAGGCTACATTGTTGCTGTTCTACGATGCAAAGGTTGGAGTTTAAGGCTTATAACTTTTTGTTGTTTCGACAGGTGTGTCAGGTTTGCAACAGAAGTTGCTGGAGTTCAGGATCTTGGTATGTTAGGTCGTGGCAGTGGAGAAGAAATTGGGACTTATGTTGAAAAGCTTATGACAAGTGAACTTTCTGGAAATGTAATTGATATCTGCCCTGTTGGAGCCCTTACGTCTAAACCCTTTGCATTTAAGGCCCGAAACTGGGAGTTGAAAGGAACGGAGACCATTGATGTAACTGATGCGGTTGGATCCAACATTCGGATTGATAGCAGAGGTCCAGAGGTTATGCGTATCGTTCCGCGTTTAAATGAGGTTGGTAAACTGTCATGAGATGCTTATAGGACACTCATTTCTAGGAATATTTTTTCTGACGCCCATCAATCAATGGACTATATGTTGACCGCTTTTGCACTAGTCTTAAATTGTTTTGAGCTGACTCCTCAGTAACTCAAAGCTATGTTGTTTCTGTTATGAGATAAGCAGCCTTCATAGTAGTTCTCGAAGAGATATGACAAATAACCTAAGATGGGTTTATGTTAGCATTAAATTCTCATTGTGATTAATGTGACATATGTAGCAACACATTTGTGTTATCATTTTGTAGATTTCTTGTCGTAGTTTTTGGCAAGATAAATTTATTTTCCAGTTTGTGACTGCCAATAGGTAAGTGTGGCATGGGCTGTATGTGATAGAATTATTACAGTCCTGTTGATGTTCTAGAAGGCCTTGATCTTGTGCTAGCTCCCTCTCTTGTTGCAAATTTGTAAGCGAAATCGAATGTGAGTGTCTTAGTGGCTACTTATCATTCTGGTAATGACAAGTTTCTCAAGTCAAGATGGTTGTGGCTAATAATTTATTTCATGCTCTATGACTTAGACCCAATTTTCAATTGTTTGAATTTATATTCTGAGGGCCTGTTTGTTTAGGCAGTGCAGTTCCTGCAGAAAGGGGGCGTTCCTCTTTGCACTGCACCCCTTATTTACCATTGCATCCCCCTAAAGAATTTGAAAACAGTGAATTGAGGACTACTTGAATAGGGTGTTTCATCTAGGTAGTAATGGTTACATTCTCTCTTCCAATTTGTGCAAGGATTTGAAGTAACTAAAATTTCTTATCATAAAATTACCTAAGTTTCAATGTTTAAATTTTGAAGGAGGGAATTTGCACTTTTAAAGCTGATGGTGCTTTCCATTTTATTTGATTAACATGCATGATTCATTGATATGTTTCTAACTAACAATAAAAAACAATGAAAAAAGTGATAAGAAAAAAGAAAACTATGGATGGTAATGTCTGTTTGCCTCTCCAAATTAGATTTAGCAAAAAAGAATTAAAACCTTAATTTCATCTGCTAATGGCTGGACCATTGATCGGTTTGGACAAGATAAATTCATCTTTTCCCTGCTTGACTTGTATTTGCAGGATGTAAATGAGGAATGGATATCAGATAAGACTCGTTTCTGTTATGATGGATTGAAGAGACAGAGGCTAAATGACCCCATGATTCGTGGTGCTGATGGGCGCTTTAAGGCTGTTAGCTGGCGTGATGCATTGGCTGTGGTTGCTGAGGTTGCCCTTCAGGTTAAACCAGAGGAAATTGTTGGGGTTGCTGGTAAACTTTCTGATGCTGAATCTATGATGGCACTGAAAGATTTATTAAACAAAATGGGATCAAACAATGTGTGGTGCGAAGGAACTGGCACAAGCCCTAATGGTGATCTAAGATACAGATATCTTCTGAATAGCAGTATTGCTGGTCTTGAGAAGGCAGATGTATTCCTTTTGGTTGGTACCCAGGTAATTCTCTGGTGACCCAAATTCTTATATTATATACTTCTTGCCTTTGCTCTTACAGAATGTTACAATCTTTTTTATTCACATCCATTGTGCATAGTTGGCAATTACTTATCTCAATCTCTCTCATGGGAGGTATTACATTTTTCTTCTAAATTGAGAGAATATTTTCAGATGCATACTCTCTCTTCATTCTCTTAATTATTTCTTTAGCCTTGAATCATAATTGTCTTCTGTGTGAATTAACTGTAAATGTTGGGATGTGATGGGAGTGTAATATTTTGCTTCGGTTTGTATGTGGGCTTTTGTCCTACGAAAAAAAAAATTGTTTAGGTTCATAAAAAAAAGGTTCTATTTATATAATATTGAGTTTTAAATAACTTCACTTTATGCTATGAAAGTAAAAAGGTGTTGGTAGTATTTATTGTTTTTAACTATATTTCTTATCTTTAGTTGTTTATACCACATAAATGTTATATTTGTCATTATACAATTCAAATTCTTTGGATAACACTTTTCTTGAAATGTTACCGAAGTCTTATATAGTATTGTTAAATCTATAAAGTGCTTTTAAAACTGTAAAGAGAGCGAATTGCAATTAACTTTTTTATGAGCATAAGCTAGTAATTATTAAATAATGAAATGATAAATGACATATGGCATATTCCGTATGATAAATTTAATAAAAACAGAATTAGGATAGTTAAAATATGATAAAATTTAGTTAAACAAATTGGCATATTCCTTGAGTTGGGATTTAAAGTCAATTGGCTAGTCTTCAAATTTCATATGATAAAATTTAATAAGCAACTGAACAAAAACAGAGTAAAAACTGATAGTTAAAGAGATGAAAATAAAAACAGCAAAAGCTGATAAAAAGGTGTTTCCAAATAAAAGACCTAAAAAAAATTGAGAACAAAAAATCTACAAGCAGCACTAAGAGTGTAAGGGAGAATGAAAAAGAAAAATACTACCTATAGAGTTAAAAAATTCTTAGCCAAAAAGGCCATAAACCTTAAAAGACCAACAAAACTATTTAAGTAGAAAAGATACTGTTCCCATAGCACCTGAATTGTGAGTGTGTGAACAGCACCAATGGATTTGGTTTTAGGACTAGTTTAGTATTGCTGTTGCAGTTATAAAAAGTTTGGATTGAAAAAAGTGTGTTTAAAAAGTGTGGTTAAAAAGGTATAATTAAAAATTCTAAGTGTTTATTATTGCTATGAAAAAGCTCTGTAATTCAAATGTCTAAAAATATATGCATAAAATAATAAAATATTAGAAACATAGGGTAATATAGTGATTTTTATCCCAAAAGTACTTTTCCACCGCAAAAGCTTCTCTAGAGTAGCTTTTTGGTTTGGGTTGCAAAGCTAGGCTTTTAAACTGAAAAGCCATTTTTTTTTTTTTTTGATTGAGGTTGGTTCAAAAGCAGCTTTTGAACACAAAATCTATTTTCAACAGCAATGCTAAACCAAGCCTTAGTATGTGGCAAGTATAATGTAATCATATAATTTCATGTTAATTTTCAGCCAAGGGTTGAAGCAGCTATGGTAAATGCCAGAATCCGAAAGACAGTTCGGGCAACAAATGCTAAGGTTGGCTACATTGGTCCTCCAACAGACTTCAACTATGATTACCAGCATCTTGGCACTGGCCCACAAACACTTCTTGAGATTGCTGAAGGTCGTCATTCTTTTTGTTCAGCCATCTCAAATGCTAAAGACCCAGCCATCATTGTTGGTGCTGGGCTGTTTGAGAGAGAGGACAAAGATGCTATTTTTTCTGTTGTTGAAGCCATTGCAGCAAAGTATGGGAACGTCATCAGACCTGACTGGAATGGATTCAATGTTTTACTTCTCAATGCTGGCCAGGCTGCAGCCCTCGACCTTGGACTTGTGCCAGAATCCAGCAACAGCATTGAGTCTGCTAAGTTCTTGTATCTAATGGGTGCTGATGACTTGAACTTGGACAAAGTTCCAGCAGATGCTTTTGTGGTGTATCAGGGGCACCATGGGGACCGTAGTGTGTATCGTGCCAATGTAATTCTTCCTTCAGCTGCATACAGTGAGAAGGAGGGTACATATGAAAATACAGAAGGGTGCACTCAGCAAACATTGCCAGCGGTCCCAACGGTTGGTGATGCTAGGGATGACTGGAAGATCATTCGAGCACTCTCAGAGATTGCAGGGATTCGTTTACCTTACGATACACTGGGGGCCATACGCTCGAGGATGAGGACTGTGGCACCAAACCTACTGTGCATGGATGAGATACAGCCAGCTGCTTTTGGGCCTTCATTGAATCCCGACTGTAGTCAGGAGATAAATTTGACACCATTCAAGGCTGCTGTTGATAATTTCTACATGACTGATTCTATTACCAGGGCATCTAAAATAATGGCACAATGCAGTTCAATGCTACTAAAGAAGTGATTGGTGGATTTGAGTCTTAATGAACTTTTGAGATTCACTTTTTTTGTTCAATCCTATCGCACCTTAATTTAAGCCGGGTACTGGCTGAGCTTCTTGAACAGTGGCAATATGTTAATAAAGGAAGTTTGACCTTTTGATTCAATGTTTTGAAATGTAAAACACTGCCTGTAAGACTAATGGTTTCCAAATTCATTCCCTTGTGCTTCAATACTTGGATTGACCAGAGCGCATTGTACCAAACAGTAGACAAATTATTGCTAGTGTGCCTGAGATGATCCACACTCGGGCTAGTTTAATCGGTTATTGACTAATGCTCATAAATGGTGGAAAGGATCATGTCCCTCTTCAACAGCCATACTCTTTTTATTAAATAAAAAAATGACGTAAAAAACTTTTTTTTTATTAAAAAAAAAAAGAAAAAGAAACTCGTTGACGCTTGATGTAGCCACAAGATGCCAACAAAATCGAAGACTCACTCTCAACACAAGCGAGGCATAAATCACAGGTTTAGCCAACAACAAGAAGCCGAAGAACCCGAAATTACAGGAATTTGTGGTTTTTTTTTTTTTTTTTTAAGTGAAAAAGATTTGTTGACGTAAATCAATTAAAAACTTCCTTCAAGAAAGAAGCGCAAACCAAGTAACAAATTGAGACCCATCCTTATATTCCATACCAATGCCCTGAGAATAACCCCATAATAAACTTAGCATGCCTTTTAAGGCATCTCACATTCCAGCAAAGCAATGATATTTTACAGACATTTTGGCAAACATGTCTTGTGCACAAAGTCCTCTTGCATACACAAAACCAAAAAGTTATGCAATACCAATCCAAAATCATAACAACATACCTTTGCAAAGGAAACTAAACAATCTCTATAAAATAGTTCTGCTGAAAATCTCTATAAATTCATTCTTGCAGCACTTAGTCATGGATTTGATACCAAAATGCACAAAATCGCACCAAATTTTGGACTACTCCTTTGAAAAGGATGCAATGCCACTCTGATTATAGGAGTTGTCCCAATTCCTCCCATCATACTGACGAATCTCAACATGGGAGAGTGTCCCAGGATCTACACATCTGAATGAAACAGCAATGCCATCTGGGTTAGACCGTGGGGTATAGAATGAAGTTATTCCACAAACCTTACAAAATGTATGTTTTGCCGTGTGAGTTCCAAAAGTGTAGGTAGTAAGGAACTCTTTGGAATCTCCCAAAAGCTCAAACCTTTCACGCGGGACAACGAAGTGAGTATTTGCCCTCATGGAGCAGTCTGAACAGTTGCATTTCCAAGCAACAACACTAGTAGGTGCTTGGACATTCCATCTTACTTTCCTGCAATGGCAACCACCATTGTGCACAACTAACTTGGACTCCATGCCAACAAACAGGACAAAAGCAAGTTTCTCCTAGGTCTATCCTTAGTTTGTAACTGCAATTATCAATCAACCAATGATTATGATAACAACAACAACAACTAGGAACAACAGTGTGGCATGTGAAAACAGTACAGTACGTAGAGCAGCAAGAAAATTCACAAGGAAACGTGTATAAAACTCCCAAGCTATTAACAAATTTCATTTACTTAGACTTTCAATTTAAAGGACCAAACTTTAAAACCATTGAAGTTTCAGTAGCATCCTTTAGCTAAGGTTCTATCCGATATAAAAAAAAAAAAAGGTCCAACTCTGGTAAATTAAAAGTAAAATAGAAAGCAAAAACAGTGTAAAGGTCAAATGAAAAGGGAGAATAGTATAATTGAAATTCAACATTTTTGGCTTAATAGAGTGCCAAAAATAGTTTGATTCGTTGTCTCTAAGTGTACAGTTTTCAAGTTCCTTTTGCCATCGTCTCTTTTACACAATACTGAAAGCAGTTGATTATTCTAGTTTGACTGATGAGTATATATATTTTAGAGGCAAAATGGGCTACATGCATGCCAGTGTTAGCAACGACACAGGGAGATGAAGGATTTTTTGCCTAAATTTTTCTTCAAACAATCAAATCATAAAAGCAAACAATAAAGAAGCAAAGATGATGAATTCTTCATTTATATATATATATATATATATATATTAAAGTATCACCTGTTAATTTGTTGAATTGCTGAGAGTTGAAGAAGATGAAGTTTGGAGGGATGGATGACACCAGGTTAAGACTTGAGAAATACAATGGACTCTCCTATGAACAAGATGGTGAAGACGGGACAAATAGACGGTCAAGATTCATCATCAGCAGCCATTTTCTGTACCCTGGATAATGAATGACTAATGTACCCATTTAATAAGATTTTATTTTGAAAAGGAGCGGACACTTAATATGTAATTTCAATACTTGGTAGGTGTGAAATGGCTAATGGACCCTAGTTGTAATTAAGAATTTTAATTTAATTATTTATGGGACTAGATTCCAAAGGCTTCCAATAAAATATTGTTCTTAATAGAATGGGCGGTCTAGTTGAAATAGTTCGCATTATATATACAATAGAGAGAGAGAGAGAGAGAATGGCGTTGGTTAATGCAACTTAGTTTGGAGATAGCAAATTTAGGCAAAGTCACTTTAAGAAAATTTTCTTCAACATAATAAAATTTTCTACTTAGATAGATTCAAATAGATTTTTGAAAACGTTATTTCTATGATATGAAAAAATTTAATATTACACTTCAAGAATTTTTGACCACGCTTAAATCACAAATCAAAAATAGAGAATAAAATAATTCTTGAGAAATTGAATGTAAAAGTATATCAAATGATTGTTAATGAAAATAGAATGATAAATTCAATATTAATCCATAATATATTGATAAATTTGTCTTTAATCTCAAATTCAAAATATCAATTCCTCCTTTCAGTGTTTTTTTTTTTTTTTTTTTTAAATCGCAGTGAGTTCAACTTAAATAAAGATTCTAGTAAAGTGCTTTAGCATGTAAAAGAAAAGATAAGGAGAAGGTGATCCCAAAACTTGATCAGCAGGTGCTACACACTGCCATAAGGATCGGTATGCAGTAATATTAGCAGCTTCCACTCCCAAGGTTGCGCCCATACTCCTGTTCCTGTTAAAGGTATACAAATGGATAACATAAATATATAGATATATATATATATATATTCTGACAGAGTAAACAGCAGTGACAGGGATTGTAAAAATTGTTTTCTGGAGATAAGCAATAGGCAGTATGCTCCCAATCCATTGCCATTTGTAGGAAACTCACCTGAATATCAATAAATAATTGCACGCAAATTTTGTCAGTGTCGGAAACATTACGGTCTGAGATATCTGAGCTTGCCCTAGCTCGTCTTTCAAGTGAAGACTCTCTCTTCTGTGCCTGGACAAGATAATCTAGAGGTTTTATTCAAAGCATATTTCAATCAAAGGAAAACTACGAAAATAAATTGTTTGTGATACTAACCATGCTGACAAGGTCAGCAGCTAGATCATAATAGCGACTTGTTATGTCTGTCGCAGAACCTAGCAGTAGATTATTCCTAGCATCATTTGTCAAATACTTGGAAGCTCGTTCACCATCCAGGAAACTCTGTAAGCATTAAAAATTGAGGTTTAAAGATCACAAGTAACATGCCATGATTGCCTATGTGGGCAGCAGACCACAAACTCTGAAGATAGAATACACACACATTCTCCATGGAAAATCCAAGCCAAAGCAAGTAATAAATATAGTCTGTATACATCTAAAATTTTTAATATTTCAATGCAAAAAAATCATTTGTATCTAATTAAATTTCAATTTTTATGTTCCTTCAATTGTTCGATTTTCTTCAATTATGCATGCAGACACATATAACATATTTAACACCTCAACGTGGACATGCATATAGGATTTTGACCCTCCATAGTCCAAATATAAGGAACAACTCAAAAATTTTAAAAGCACTGCTATTGAACACATACCACGTGCAACATTTATCCATGTATCTGAACAACATAACATATTTATACCGCTAAATAAATGGTTTCATTTGTTGAAATTTTAAAGGAAAAGGAGAACAAAAAAAAACTAAATGAAAATGCTAAACTCATTGTATGCCTTTTGTGATCATTTATATTCTTAGTATTCTAAATCTTTTAACACAGAGACACACAATCATACAAGAAAGGATTTAATTGTTTTCGTTACTTTTTTTTTCGTTCCTGCAAACTTTTCTCTCTCAACTTTCCAGCAAAACTTCGAGCTAAATCCATTGACTGCATTAATTTCTCAGTAACTAAGTTCTTGACTCAGGTCCTTAATCTTAGAATTGAAAAAGTAACCATCAGATATAAATCCCATTATTGATTAACATACCGAACCATACAATTCCCCTTCCAAGAATATAAATAACTGTCCATGACCCTCTTCCACCCTGCTTTTACTTATTTATTCCTTTTCATCTTTGGTAATCAATCAGTCATGCATTCACCATGTACTATTGAGACTAGTATGAGCAAACTCGGTTTTTCCAATCTGAATTGATGCAATTCTATTGTTGCTTAAAAATCTCAGTGTGAGTGAAGTATCTAACTCACACCAGTAATAAGTTATTCGCAATAATTGTGCATGAAACTGAAACCATGTAAACAAGCGGGTTGCTCAAATCCATCTCATCATGTCCTAATCTTCACGGATTAGAGAAAGGTGATACCAACAAGCATACCTGAGAAAACATATGAACTTTTTTCATCATCTATATTACTTTAACTCAAGCATGGCTGTTGGATGCAGGTATGTGTCAAAACATTTTATCTGAGACATGGTGGCTGTCGGATGCAGGTATGTGTCAAAGCATTTTATCAAGACATGGTGAGATAGCAAAAAAAGGTTCAAAACAAAGATAGGCACAGGGTTTCCTGATATACTTAAAAGAGAGAGAAAGATGGAGACAGATATTTATTCAATTATATAAAATTGACTTTCTTGATTATAAGCAATCATTTAATTTAATGAAGATGTTGAAGGAGTATTGTTCATTATACAAAGGGTGAAACTGAAACAAATATTTACATGTAAAAGAGAGAGAGAGAGAATCCTAAAGGCATTTTTTTTCTCCGTATTCCTATATGGGTCATTCAAGTATTTAACCTCTCTAGGTTTTGAAGATAAGTGTTAGGAGTCTAAACTTTTGAAAAGCCTTTAAAGCCTAATTAGGGCCAATATGGTCCAAGGGCCCCAAACCATTATCAATCATCAATCAACTTTTAAAACCCTAATTGTCATGTTTTAATGTGACATCTCACTCCTTGTCTCTCGCCCTCACCCACCCAGGGTTGTCAAGGTTTATGCCTAGGCTCAAAGGTGTAGTGCAAATTAGGCAAAGTGCCTTGGACCACTTCAGGCAAGTTGCCTTTTGCACCTATGCACAGAAAAGGCACGTTTGACTCAAGTGTCCTTTGATTTCTTCAGTTTTTAATTTCTTTAGTCAACTACTCTTTCAATAGCAAAAAAAAGGACAGTTTCAGCTCCATTTAAAGGAATATAAAAAATTAAAGTAATATAATTGATGCAAAAAATATTTTGTTGAAGATGGAATAGAAGGAAACTTGGAACATTGTTTGGTGACATTAATTATGATAATTCATGATATTTTGAATGCATTAGGCAATGTGATAGAGTAAACTCTTTAATGTTTATTAACAAAATCATATATTCCGTACATTTTAAGCTTAATACACATAATACATAGAATTTTTCATTTTAGGTATATATTAATTATCTTTTAGAAATTAGCGCCTTACTTCACTCAGGTGAGTGCTTTCTTTGTATCCAGTGTCTTGTGCCTTGGGTAAGGGTCCTAACACCTGGAGTGTGTCTTGCACCTTTGACAACAATGAACTGACCAAAACCAAGACACTTTACACATACTGCAAACAACCCAGAAGGTAGAAGCTTTCATAGTAATCCACTAACAAGCACTATGATGGAAGAATAACTGAAAAAGTGGCCAAAGTCACAACAGTATGACATCCCACATTAATAAATTGTCATCAAACAGGGCAAAGGTGAGAAGCAGGGGTTCTTCATAAAGCATATGGCATGGAATGATGCTTCAGTAGTTGTGATTTGTGACATAAATAGAAATTAAAAAGATTTCATACCTTCAATGGGCGCAATAACCCTGCCACATAAGGTGAATGCCTGACAGGAAGAGGCTTATTTGTCATCCTGTAAGTTGCAGTTATTTCATTCAGCTGTCTCAGGTCCTGTGGAAATCAAAATAAATGAGAATGAACAAAAAATTCCTAGTATAATGAAAATTGCAAGCAGCCAAATTACAATAGAAATCACTAAACCTGTCATGGTGGTTTCATACGTAGAGAATGACGCAAATTGTGATAACTGACATTGCAATGCTTACCTCAACAGACTTCTGAACTAGAGCCTCTTTAATTGCATCAATAACTAAGGGTAATAAATCATCCAATGAATTTCCACAGTACAAAATGCTTTGTTTTACTAGATCAAGGACTTCAGTGGAATGTGAAGATTGAACCTGAAGTATATGATCCGGGTATGCACCACAAATCTCCTTGGCCAGACAATTTATGTGATGAATAATCTGCAAGCACAATTGCATTCATACATATGCTGCTCAAAAGTCTCAATCAACGATAATTATGGCCTACAATATTTTCAAAATTTAATATAGTGCTCGACTTGGAGAACTGAAAGCAGCTTTTGAATAGAATTAAAAAAAAAGAAAAAAAGAAATACATAACAGAATGCTTAAAGTCCTATCAACAACAAGGCACAAAATTCAGCAGATTGAACTAGTGGAACTGAAAATGATGAGATCTGAAGCAATTGTACAACTACTTTCATTTATTTTTCTACATTTTAATAATGAGATTTAGGAACATACTAGAATGTTATAAGAAATTACAATTAACAGTTTTAATTTCTCTCTAGAACTTTCTGCATTAGAAAGAATCAAGTGGATGCAGAGAACTAATTATTTCTCTATAATTATCTCCCTATTTAGGAATGCAAACAAACGTAATTATTAGTTCTTCATCCCATTCTCAACAATTTTAATTTCAAAATTCAAAAAGAAGAACACCATTGATTAAACTTCTATGTATTACAAAAAGTAACTCAGTAAATTTAATATTTGAGAAATATAGTGAAATAAAGACATGAGCGTACATAAAACAAAATCGTCTGGTGCAGCTGAAAGAGCCCGTTCACATCCAGTGTTGGAGACACTACTACCCTTCTTCCAGGCAGCCAATCCAGATGACAACCAATTTGAGTATCTATCACACACAAAATACAGTCAAATGAAGATATTTCAGCAAATCTAGACTACCCAAAACTATTTGATTCAAGGAATGACCTCGAGAGCAGCTGCAAGGACAAGCGAAGAAACTTGTCAGATCAAGAAAGGATAAGAACTTCTTCATTCCAGGAGGATCTCAAACTCTCCAAAAGGGTAACACTTTGTTTAAGTGTCAGGTTCAGAGAATTTTCTTCATCAGAATGTGAATTCTAGACAGGAATAAGACTGGATGCTGTAAGTGCAGAATCCAGAGCACCTGCTATTTCTTGAAACCTGAGTGGTTGAAGATATGAGCAGTTCACA